TGCTCCCCGGGGTCTCCCTGCAAAGGAAAAGAGGGAAATGAGAAGGAGCCGTGGCCCAAGATGCACAAATACCCGTGCTCTGCCCCAGAGCAATGCCACGGGCGATAGAAACCTTCTCCTCAGAGCAACCAGCCCATGGGAGACCCGCTTGGCCCGATGGAGCCTCCCACTCCCCTGGCTTTCACCCTGCGCCGCAAGGCCCCTCCGCCGTCTCACCTTCGCTCCGGGAGGCCCGGGCAAGCCCTGCGGGTGGAACAGATACGGTGGTCGGCAGACGTGCAGAGCACCCGTGAACGCCATTGGGACGGGCGCCACAGCGAGCTCGAGCGCGCGCCGCTGCTCCGCGTGCCAGCAGATGCTATCCATGCCCGGCACCTACCTCTCCGTCTCTGCCAGGCTTCCCGGCTTCGCCCGTCCTGCCCTAGTGCAAAGGAGAGCCCTGTCAGAGGCACCAACATGGGAAGCGCCAAGGCTTTTTCCCACTTTTATACGCACTTACAGGTGGCCCGGGCTGTCCTGGGGCGCCCTCGGGTCCGGCGGGCCCTGGCGGGCCAGGAGGTCCCGGAGGACCTTGTATTCCCGCTTGTCCTTGTTCGCCCTGCGGTGGCGGGTACGGAAGGGGTTACCGCGAGCAGAGCCACCCCGGCCCCAAGCAGCACGCGAGGCAGCAGCGAAGCTCGCGTGAGCGCATGGGGAGGTTTCCAAGAGCGGGGCAGAGCGCCTTGAGGACGGCCTTGAGCCAACAGCTTCCCCACTGGACAACGCTCCCTCGGTTATGCCAAGGGCCGGAGGCAGAAGCGCCACAAAACCAAGGGAAAACAGCACAGGCGTCGCGGCCGCTCTGGAGCTCGCACGGACCAGAGCGAGCCTGTTCCCGCGCGCGCAATGACGCCGCCCGAGCCGGCTCCTCCGTAGCGTCCTCCTGCCTCAGCAATGCCATCTGGCCCAAAGGACTGGCTCACGAGCACGTGGACAGCGCGCCTTGGAGGCGCCCCGTTGGAATGCCAGGCGAGCGCCGGCGCCCCGTCACCACATCCTCGCAGATGCGGCCGGTGCGGAGCAAGTGCCGCGGCTCTCGCAGGGCTGTAAGCGGATAGGGCAAGTCAGGCGGCGTTTTCGGCACATGTCAGCTGGTATTTTTAGCCTCAAACTCAAACTATTTCTCAGTCCTGCTCAGCG